AGAGCTTATGCGTAGAGAGAATGTGAATAGGATTAACTACGAACCGTTAATGGATCTTCGGAAGTTTAATTCGTATCTTTCGAAAAGCGTGAGGTTGAGTAAGAGAAGAGGAGCTGCATTGTTGAAGAACATTAAGGGTGTAGCTCATTCCATGAGTTTACGGGTTGCGGATAAAGATGTAAGCGATGGAAGCACCGATAGTCCGAAAAAGGGGAAAGATCATAAGCATGGTAAAGCTAATGAGTGGGTGAAAGTTAGACCAACAGGGAAATCTTACAAGGAATTAAGTGCTTTGCATATGTGTCAAGAGATTCAAGCTCACGAGGGTGCGGTTTGGACTATTAAGTTTAGTCAAGATGCTCATTATCTAGCGAGCGGAGGAGCGGATAGAGTCATTCATGTATGGGAGGTTCAAGAATGTGAACTAATGTCTATGAATGAAGGGAGTCTCACTCCTATTCATCCTTCACTTTGTGACTCTGCTGGAAATGAGATAACTGTGGTAGAGAAGAAAAGGAAAGGAAAAGGCTCATCGGGGAGGCGAAACAATCATATTCCGGATTACGTACATGTTCCTGAAACCGTCTTCTCCTTTTCTGATAAGCCTGTTTGCTCTTTGAAAGGTCATTTGGATGCTATTTTGGATCTGTCATGGTCCAAATCTCAGCTTCTTCTTTCATCTTCCATGGACAAAACAGTCAGGTTATGGGATCTAGAAACCAAAACATGTCTCAAACTGTTTGCCCATAATGACTATGGTAAGACACATCTTTTATTTCCAGACTTCACATCTAGCTATAATTTGCTGCATACACTTTTGACCTTATTGTCCTATTGATTCAACAGTGACATGTATCCAGTTTAGCCCAGTGGATGAAAATTATTTCTTAAGTGGTTCACTTGACGCTAAGATAAGGATATGGAGCATACAAGATCGACATGTTGTGGAATGGAGTGATCTTCATGAAATGGTTACTGCTGCTTGCTACACTCCAGACGGTCAGGTATTTGCTCTGTTTCTTGCAGAGTAGTCTCCAAAATCCAATCTTTCGCGGGTTTTTTAATGACGGATGTTTTGGTTATTTTCGATTGTAGGGTGCACTTATCGGGTCACATAAAGGAATTTGTCGTGCTTACGATACAGAAGGTTCTTTCCTAAGCTCTTTCTGATTCAAACACCATTTCCTAGTTGAATACTCTTTTCATTGCTACGCGCGTTTTT